ACCTATCCTTTGCAGAATATTTCTAATTTTTGTACTTTCTGTAATTAGATCATGTTGTTGTATTTTCCCTCCGTCAAATACCATTTATGTGGGGGGTTGTTGGAATTATGGTTTCTTATAGACTTATTTTGGGTCAACTTTGAGCCCAAAATTGAGTAGGTCTCACACGTCTTTTGAAATGGGTCGAAAGAGGTGATGTGTTCCTGTCGCATGGCAAGTCACACGATGCAAATAGCTCGTCAAAACCATTTATGAGTGAATGGGAACTTGACGTCGTTTTCGCGTTTGTGAAATGGACAATTAAAGAAGTAAATGTGGGTTTTCTTGAAATGGTTATACCACATTGAAACTTAAAGAGAACTTATGTGTGTATCTAAGTTCTAGATGAATACGCTAGGGTTAGGCACCAAGGGCACCCCAAGTTTGTAAAAGTGAAGAGTTATAGACAAAATGAGCCTTGACTCAAACCACCACACATCACCCCAAGTTTGTAAAAGTGAGGGTTAGTCACCGTCGTCGCCGCCCGGCCGAGTCGAGCTGCACCGGGTGTGGTTGTGGGTCGGGTCGGTTCTAATATTAATTTTTTGAACAAAATTTATTTGAATTTTTTTTCCAAAATATTTTTGCAAGAAAATTATTTTTTTGAACGAAATTAATTCAAATTTCTTGCCAAATTTGAATTCGAATTTTCTAACCAAACAGTCCTCTCCTCTGGTCCAATTTTCCAAACTGAAATTTTAACCCGATTTAATAGATAGTACCGGACAAGTTCGGTTTTTCCAGACAGATTCAAACTGTTCAAACAAATTTGAATTTCTTTCTACACATGTTCAATTCATATCATACCTGTTCGGTTTGAAATTCATACATGTTCTGTAGTGATCCCAGTTTTGCCACTTCACTAAGTATGTCGGGGATCGCGCTGCCCGGTCAGCTCGAGGGGGTCCAGGGGCAACGCCCCTTGGCGGGTCCTAGGGCAGCGCCCTGGCAGGGATCGAGCTGCCCGGTCAGCTCGTGGGGGTCAAGGGCAATGCCCCTTGGCGGGTCCTAGGGTAGTACCTTGGCGGGATTGAGGGGCAACGCTGCTGAAGCACAAATGCCAAATGCATTAGAAGTTGCTTGTCCGCTCAAGCGGCTGTTTATGCGCTCGAGCAGAGAATGTTTGGTTCCAGAAGTTTGACCTGTCTGCAAAAGTACTGGGAAAGTGTATTTGACGCTCGAGCGAGGCTTTCCACGCTCAAGCGGACCATGTTATATCAGTTCGTGAATCTGATATTTCATATCACTTTTGTGTATCTCTCTCTCTCTAAAAACCCTTCCCTCTCCCTTCTCTCTACATTTTCGTACGCCATATTGGATCAAAACCTTGATTTCTCAAGATCCATTAGAGTTCTGCCATAGGTTCTTTATCAAAGTTTGTTAACTTCTCGAGGGCTTCGTTGTGTGCGATGAAGATTGAGTTTCGACACCGTTGATTTTAGGGGTTTCATCTCATTTCTTCTTTAAAACTTGAGGTAGGGATTTTCTTAGAGTTATATATATATTTTTGCAAGATCTAGATGATTTTCGAAATCATCTTTTGATAGCTTTGAAAATTGATTGTTGATTCAAGAAGTTGAGCGATTTTGAAAGTGGGTTTGTCTCTTGTTCTTTTAAAATAATCTTATGGGTTTTGATCTTCGTTGATTGAAGAAGAGATGATTTTGAAAAGTTTTCTTTCAAAAGATATGAGTTGTATATTTTTTGTGAAAAAACCTAGAATTTGGAGATTTTTTTTCTTTTGTGAAGACTGAAAATCCATGAATGATATTGTTATATTTATTTTGTGTGTCAAAATAAATGGATGTTTGAAAATTTCTTATTTATATTTATATAAATGATGAATTTCAGAGAATATGAGGATTGTTGTTCATTTTGGAAATTATTATTTGAAACGTTGAAATGGTCTTGAAATAATTAATTGTTGAGGATACTTGAGAAGAGGGAATTGTGTTATTCCTTGGATGATGAATTGGAATAAAAGTATTTATATTCATCTTGTGAAATTGACATATCAATTCATTTGATTACATTAAACTTTGAAAGTTGATTTGAAAACTTGCATTGAAAAAAGAACTTTGAGAAACAAGTTTTCATGGAATGGTTTTGGGGTAAATATGTTGGTAAGTCTTGATAGGTGGTGTAGATGATATTAAATAAGTTGGCTTGAGAGTTCGAAGTGAAAAATCGAAAACTCGGGCGGATAGGTGTCGAGCCTTCCGGTTAATACTGGTAAAAATGACAATTTAGTAGTACTTGTATAGTCTACTTGCAGACACTGACCTAAGGATTACTAAAGTCATATTTACCGCCCTTGAAATAAATTGTTAAGTTTTGAACAATTGAAATTGCACGATATCATTGAACATGATGGTTTTCAAAAAATGAAAATGTGATTTATCTTTAAAAAGGGCATAGCATGGCATATGCATTTCATCTCTTGAGACTTGTATAAAATGTATATACTTTGTTAAAAATTTCCTACTGAGCTTTATGCTCACCCTATGGGATTTTTGTGCAGAAAGAGATGTGGTGATCCCACCCAACTAAGGGTGTGGAAGTATGTGTGTTAGGAGTACAATACTCTCATTTTGCTGTGACTTTGTGTGTAAGCCAAGAGTTGTGTTTGTGTGGGTTTGATAACCGTTTTGTGTAACCAGGCTCAAGTCTTGGAAACTTGTAAACCCTTGGGGGTATTTATTTGTTTATTTACTTGTTGCTGGATTAATGTTGTCACGACCCAAACCCGGCCCTATGGGTTTAGCACCGTAACCGGCCAGTAATCCGAGATTACCGAAGGCCTGCAGAACAGTAATACAGTAAAACAGAGTACAGGGCCTGGCGGAAGCCAATACAGTAAATAAATAGTGTCCATTGAGCTGTGACAGTCTGTATGCAAAAAGGCTTTTCATATATTTATACACAAACAGTACTTTAATCAGTTCAATTATCAGTCAGTTATCAGTCATTATCAGTTCCGTTTAGCAGTAATCGGTGATTATCGGTAATCAATCAGTCCCTAATCAGTAAACAGTATGAGGGTTGTTACAAATGTATTGTTGCATGAAGAACTTTTGTATCATGTAATGTAAATTTGGAGATTTATATTCGATTTTTCTTGAAAGAGCCATAATTGTTGTATTATCATTTGGGCTAGAAATTTGGGGCATTACATGTTCGATCCAATAAATGCCAAGACTTCTCCAGCAGTTTGATCATCTTGAAAAATCCAAAATTTTCTTGTCTCCTTTCATTTTGTTCTCTTGCATACATATATTCTTCATACTAGTTTTTTAGAGGGAAAAATTCAGAGAGTATAGAACATAGGTTCTAGTTCGCCGTTTAAATTGTTTGGAGTGCTACTATAATCTGTGTAGATCATTGTAATCTGGGAGATAGACATCATTTATCCGTAAACACCGAATCAGGACGAATCTGTCTTAAGGACAGAGTGTCACACACTCGACTTGATCTATTTTTATACTTATTCATTTCGATAAATAAATTTTGTAAGTAATTTATTTTTATTTGTTTGATTAGTTTTAAGCTATTTATTTTACACAGAAAATTATTCTAACAATATCAATTATATCCAACATATAATTAAGGGGATTTTTTTTAAGGTCCCTGGTATTAAGATTTTATAACATAAAGGACACTAAATATTTTTATAATGTCTAAGGTCCCTCAACATTGATCTAGAGAAGATTCAATCCAGAGAATTTCTCTCCAGAGAAATTCTGAAAATTTCTTTGGACTTCGGAATTTCACTCCAGAGAAATTTAAATTTCTCTGGATTCTCTGTGTTTTGACCAATTTTCTCTGCACTTCGGAATTTCTCTCCAGAGAAATTCAGTGAGCACACCGTCCTGACAAATAGCAGAGATCTTATCAGTATTAGCATTCTCACGCAACAAAAACTTCCTCATCAACTTCCTAACCCTCCGCTCCATCCTCAAATACTTAGCCACATCTTTCTCCTCCTCTCCCTTCCTCTCTCTGTTGATCACAAGCACATTGTCGCCCTCTACTTGAACCTTGATGTCCCCTGACTTCAGCCCAGGCATGTCGATGATGAACACGTACGAGTTCGGGTACTCCTTCACGTCCGCATGTGTCGCTGCCATGGCCTTGGCGTCGCGGACGTAGTTGCATGACGCTGCGTTTACCGACTTGTCAATGGAAGCTGCGTCGGCGAAAGCTTTGGCTGCGGCAGCCACGTCCATCATGTGCTAGAGAATGTAGCCTCAAATCCATTTTTTGATGAATTGGTATTGGAATTGGAATAAAGTGAAATTGTTTCGAATTTGGAGAGCGAGAAGTTTAGAGTGAGAGAGACAAAAAAAAAATGAAATTTGATTCGAGAGAGTCAAATTTCTCTATGATATATGAGTGTGGGAGTTGAGAGACCTTAGACATTATAAAATAAAATTATAAATCTCTTCTATTATTAAATATAGGAGAGGGACTTTAAATTAATTTTTCCTATAATTAACCCTAGGAGTAGTGACAAAAGGCAAATGCTAAAGAAGGTAAAAAAAAGTGTTATAAAATTCATTAAATTTATCGACAAAAGTCTGAGAATTTATGTATGTTTTTTTTATCTTTTATTTATGATAAAGGATACTCGTTAAATCGATAATGATAGAGAATTTTAATTTTAAAATTTTAAAGAGAGTTTTAATAATGTGATAAGAGAAAAAAATAAATAAATAAATAAAAATATAAATATATACATCACATCATATATAAATTTCACTTCTTGACACATTACTAAAACACTATTTAAAATTTTAAAATTAGAGTTCTCAATTTTTGTTTCTCGTTAAATATTGATTTTTCCAAGCTAATTACTTTGTCCAATCATTCAGAAAAGACAAGGGAGATTTTTACACTTGGAAGAAGTAGAGATAAGCCAAGTGTAAATTACTTGTTGGTCTTAGTTAGTTGGAGATTTTCAAGGACCGAACTTGTATTTATAAGTGAGAGAGAATCATAGAAACCAGAAGAACCATTGAGAGAGAGAGAGAAAGAATGGTATTGTTGGACAAGCTTTGGGACGATGTGTTAGCCGGACCACACCCTGACCGTGGTCTCGGCAAGCTCAGGAAGATCAAAGGTGCTTCTTTTCTTTTCCTTATTCTTCTTGTGTTTTTTTACTGTTTTTAATTATTCATGCTTATTGAATCATTTAAAAAAATTATTAAAAATTAATTCCAACGATTGTGAATATCTTAGAATAAAAGTTTGAAATTTTTTGATATAGAAAAACATAGTCCGTGCTTATACTGGCTTGGAGTTATTTGGTGCAATTTATTTGAATTGCTTATATTTTTATTTATTTATTTTGAGAATTTATATCGAGTTGTTTGGTGCATTTTTTATTTATAGCTTATAAGATATAAAATAATTTTAAAAAATAAATTAAAAAGAATAATAATTTAAAAGTTGAAGATGTGGTTTTTTTAACTTCTGTATCTAAGTAAATCTAAAATAAAAATCAAATTTCAAGGCAAACCCTCCACGATATTTATAGATATCATTTTCTACCGTAATTCATACGCACACAGAAGTTATTCGCACATCATCTCAACCATTAATTAGTAGGTGTCTCATCTGAATATGATAGGAAGCTTAACAATAATTATTCAATAATTTGGGACATTATGTGGTCGTATTTTAAACCAATTACTAATTACTTAGTCTCATCTTATTCTTTCATTTTCAACATAAATCGTGAGTCTCTATTCCTCTTTATGAATCAAAATTTTATGAAACACTGTGTATTCATATTCTAAAAATACTGAATAATCACCTTTATTTTCATATTCTAGAAATACTGAATAATCACCTTTATTCTCTTAAAAAAAAAATTAAAAAGTCAAAAAAAAATTAAAAAATTTTTAATTATCTTTTTAACACATCACTTCAAACCCAACCCAAACCCAACCCATATTTCATAAAAAGTCAAAAAGTACATTTATTTAGTCTTCCCAAACTAGGCCTTAGTCTCATCTTATTCTTTCATTTTCAACATAAATCGTGAGTCTCTATTCCTCTTTATGAATCAAAATTTTATGAAACACCGTGTGTCCATATTCTAGAAATACTGAATAATCACCTTTATTTTCATATTCTAGAAATACTGAATAATCACCTTTATTCTCTTAAAAAAAAAATTAAAAAGTCAAAAAAAAATTAAAAAATTTTTAATTATCTTTTCAAAACATTCTAAAATAAATATAAATAATAGAGGAATGATGATACATTATTGGATGGTCCTCTCGCTTCGTGGTCTCATGTGGGGTCTCCATATCAATAAATATGTGTGATATTATATTCTAAGTTAAAAATTCATAATTAAAAAGTAAAAATAAAAGAGTACTTCCCCTAATTTTAAATAATTAATATTTTTTTAATTTATTTATATTATTTTTATCTAATAAATTATAAAAATAATATTCCAAATGAAAGAGTAATAATTTTGAGATCGAGACGTTATATAAATGTGATGGGTGTGTTTTTGGATTTTGGAATGGATAGATGGGGAAGGAAGGGGGAGCAAGTATCAAAGGTCATTGTCGATGCCGGCAAGTTCGTCTTCGTCGTCGACACCGACAACGCCGATGACACCGGCAACACCGTCACCAACGGCGGCGCGTGCTAAAGACAACGTGTGGAGGAGCGTGTTCAACCCTGGTAGCAACCTTGCCACCAAGGGTATTGGTTCTGATGTCTTTGACAAGCCCCAGCCCAACTCTCCCACTGTCTATGATTGGTTCGTATATCCTCTTCTATTTTTATTTTTTTTTCCTTATGGAAAATATTGAATTTATTTATATTTTTTTTAGAGTAAATTATAAATACTCTTGAAATTTGCTTAAAATCTAAATTGTTTTAAAAATTACATTTTATTCCTTCAAATTTTTTATCACATAACAAATGAAATGATTCATTTTATTAATAAATAATTAAGTCAATTAATAATTTTTAATGATGTTAAAAATATATTTTAATAATTTTATTGTTTTATAAATTTTTTTTTTGTGACTGCACTACACCATTGTAAAAAATAGAAAATTTTAATATTTTTATTGATTTTGTTATAGGTTTTATTTTTTGTGTTATAGGTTTTACTTTTTGTGACGACACTAAACTGTTGCAAAAAATAGAAATTTTATTATTTTTCTAATACTTTTTGCAACGGTAGTACACTGTTGCAAAAAATAGAAATTTTCATATTTTTTATATTTTTTGCGATGGCACCACACCGTCACAAAACAGTGTTCTTGCCGTTGCAAAAACAAAAAGACTATTAATGACGACATTTTTTGCCGTCTAAAATAACATTTTTAGCGACGGTAAAATAGTGCCGTTGCAAAAAATCAAGAAATTTTAAACATTATTAACGACTGTAAAGTGCTGTCGCAAAAGACAAAAATGCCATCGCAAAATATTAACCCAAAACTGCTTTCTTTATTTATTTTGCTCGGCTATCAAGATAAAAATGTGAAATTGTACTGAGTTTTTTTTATTATTTTTTGTTTAGTGATTTTTTAAAAGATTTTTTTTTTTTAATAAAATTTGTACTTTTTAAGTATACCAAGATTAAGATGATCTAAAATTATAATATTAAAGCTAAAATATTAAAAAAATACTAAAAATTTACGAATTCAAAATTTAAAAAAAATATTTTTAAACCAGAGTGATCCAAGGGGTGAATCTTTTATGGGAAGTGATTGATCTTAACAAATTTAGAATTGGCTTCTGGGTCAAACATTATGTGAAGGATTATGGGATTTTCCATCATGGAATGCGGTGTTCAAATATGTATATGCAGTTGATCAGTTTTTGTTTGATAGCTCCTTGTAACTCGAAGAATAAGTTCTAACATTTTTCATATTTCATCAATTTAATTTCTATCATAAAAACACATTCGAGATAAATTTAAGATTTGTAAAATTAAGTTCCAACATTTTTCAAATTCAAATCTTAATTTAAAAATCTCCATCTAAATTGTCACATTATACTAAAAACACTATTTAATAATTTTTCACCCAAAACAAAAATATGAAAAATAAGAAAGTAAAATTTTTTGAAAAGTGTTTTTGAAAAATAATAACCAAGCATGCTGATTAGTTTTTTTTAGTTCATATTTTAGTCAAATAATTAAAAAGTTATTAAATTAACTTGTTTCCAAACGACTGGTTTAGTAAGTGGCTGTTTTAGTTAAAAAGTCAAAAAATTATTAAAAAATTAAAAAATCAAAAATTTATACTAAAAAATTAAAAAATTTCTTTTCTCTTTTACTTTTTATTCATATTTTTATAAAAAATTAAAAAATTATTAAAAAAATCTGTTCCAAAACGAGGCCTTAAGATGGACATGCCTCCATGTTATCACAGGCTCTACAGTGGGGAGACGAGGAGCAAGCATCGCTGAGGTGATGAAGGTTACCGGAGCGTGCATGTAAATAGCTTCCTTATCCTTTCCTAGCCAGTGTCTGCCACGTGTCGTGGTTGTTGCTGGCTTAAAGGGTATTAGGATTGGCTACGTGTCCTACCTATCCTACCTAGCTAGTTTTTGTGAATTTGATAGAGTATGTTGTTTATCACTGGTACGGTTAATTATGTTATGGGATTGAATCCTACTGTGCATGATCATCGGCCGAGTGGACGGTATATATTGTGATGCCTATTTCTTCTTATCCTTTGAGCTTGTTTTAATTGCTCTGTTGTGGAATTCAACAGTAGTGGTGAGGAAGTAGGGGTTAGAAAGTACATGATCCATTTGGAGGGTTTCATTATTAGTGTTTGGGAGGTAGAAAAAAAAAAAAGAAAAAACATATTTTGTTTTTCCGTCTGTTGGATAGGTTATAGGTTGTATTGTTGTTCTAGTAGTGGAATAGAGTCTGGGAATGTGCAAAATGTTCATAATTAGTAGTTTTGTTTTGTCAAATTGGGTTGATTACTACCACAAAATGATGTTATTAGTGTTATAATTGTTTTTGTTTTCCCATGCTTTGTGTTAAATTTTGTTGTCTGTGACTTAACTTTGTTACCATTGCATATTACTTAGGCCTTGTTTGGCATTCCTTAAAAAAGTCAAAAAGTCACTATCATATTTAAGTCACGTCATCTTATTTAATTCACATAACCTCTCTACCACATCACTTCAAACTCAACGCATATTTCATAAAAAGTCAAAAAGTACACTTATTTAGAACATTTCAAACAATTATTTAATTATTCTTTCTGAATTGACACAACCAGAGCTTCTTGATTTTTCTTTAAATTCTATGAAATACTTCAAGCTATTGTATTTTTGTTTTAACTAGAATTTTTTTTCTCTACATGTTTCTGCATCTTTTTATACTCCTAATTTAGACATCATTACCATCCACAAGTTTATAGATAAAGGTCTGATCTTTCAAAAAGTTTTCTTTTCTAGGTAAACAATATCCGTGGCTATCTTTCTGGAAGGATTGTCTTCTTTTTGGTATGTTGTCTTCTATAGATTAATCTTATCAGCTCTATCTTGTTCATCTATATTAAGCCATCCAGAAGTGGGTTGTTGTGGAAATCTGCTTGTAGTTTCTTTAAGTATCCTTGACTTAAGTCTCGTTTGGTAAGTGACTATTTTAGTTAAAAAGTCAAAAAATTATTAAAAAATTAAAAAGCAACAACTTATATTAAAAAATTAAAAAATTTCTTTTTTCTTTACTTTTTACACATATTTTCATAAAAAATTATTAAAAAAATCTATTTCGAGACGAGGCCTTAAGATGGACATGTCTCCACGTTATCACAGGCTCTACAGTGGGGAGACGAGGAGCAAGCATCGCTGAGGTGATGAAGGTTACCGGCGCGTGCATGTAAATAGCTTCCTTATCCTTTCCTATCCAGCGTCTGCCACGTGTCGTGGTTGTTGCTGGCTTAAAGGGTATTAGGATTGGTTACGTGTCCTACCTAACTAGTTTTTGTGAATTTGATGAGTATGTTGTTTATCACTGGTACGGTTAATTATGTTGTGAGATTGAATCCTACTGTGTATGATCATCGGCCGAGCGGACGGTGGTGATGAGTTACTTTTGTTATTATAAATAAATAAAATGTTTTGTATTGTGTTCTTTCTTCTCATTATGATTATTTTGAGAGTAAATTACACTAATCTCTCTTATACTGTGTCTGGTTGTGGATTTGAAAAGAAATTTAAAAAAAAAATAAAAAATATGGATAAAATATGAATAAAATATGTTTAAATTTCACACATGGGAAGTAGGTTTTTTTTTGTTGTAGGATATTAATAGAGAAAAATTCTTGTATTTGGAAAAATAGTTGAGTTTTTTTATAGTTAGATGTGATGTTTGTGAGAGAAAAAGTAAAATGATTATAGGGTTTGATGTGATATTTTGTTTGGATTTTTTTTTTTTTGGTTTTGTAACCAATTTATCTTTTAGTAGAAAAAAATAAAAATAAAAAACCCAAAAAATTTCTTCCCAAACACCGCTATAGTTTCACACATTTTTTTCTTTTTTCTTTTCAAATCTCTCTCCAAATCTCCTAACCAAACACAGCATTAAGGTTTAAAAAAAAATAAAAATTGTTTTATAATTTTTAAAATAATTATATCGATCTTAAAAATTTTAAGAAGATTAAAGAGAATAAAATTAATACAAATAATATGAAAATACAAGAATAAATTTTAAAATATATATTTTAGTATAAAATAAATTAAAAATATTATTTATTTATTTATTTGACTAATGAATTATTGATTAAGGAAAATGGTAAAAATTTTATTGCTAAAAATAAAGTTAATTGTTATGTGAATTAAAAAAAATTAAAAATTAATATAATTATTTTAAAATTGTGGAGTTTATTGTATTTTTTTTTTTTTTTTCAAATTTTAGGATAAGTTAGTGTAATTTATCCTTATTTTTAAGGTAAGTAACATTGACCTTCTTAGATATTTTAAAGGGAAAATACATAATTTCTATATATAGTAAAGGTAAAACAAGTATTCTTATGCCACGTTGAATGAATAGTAATATTTTTGTGTAAGTCTTCGTATGACATATTGGCTTTTTAAGTTTTTTTTTTTGGATAAAATAGTCATAAAAAAAATAAGTTTAAAAATCAATAAGATAAAATGTCATATTCAAATCATAATTATTTTAATTTTTCTCTCATAAAAATTAAAAAAAAATCAAAAAATTTATCTTAAATGAGGCTTTTTAGTCTCATGTTAAAATAGAGGATCACAATATAATTTTATTAAATTTGTGAAACTATTATTTTTAAATATAAAAAATTAAGAGAGATTTATATGATTTATCTTTATTTTTACGGTAAATTACACTGATAGCACCTGAGGTTTAAAGAAAATATAACAATTTTATAATTTTGACGTAAATATAATGAGTCCTCTAAGGTTTTAATTTACATAGAAATTGACTTTTTGATTTTTTATAAACAAAATTTTTAAAAAAAAAGTGCAAAAAAAAAGAGATTTTTATTGATAAGTCCAATTTAGAAGTGTTTTAACCCAAGAAGTCCATGAAAGAATTTTTTAACCCATTTAGTCCAATGTATGTATAGTTTTATTCCATAAAGTCCATTTTCATGATTTACACTATTTTCTTGGACACTTATGCCCTTATATTTAATTTTGATACCCTTATAAATATTTTTTGAACGATTAGCAATTTAATGATGTGAACATTCATATTTTAAAATTCACATTGGTAGGAATGTAAAATTGGCCCGTGGGCGGCCCGAAACCCGGCCGCGAGCCGGGGCGGGCCCGGCCCGTTGACAATGTGAATATTCACATTGACATGTTAACATTCACATTAATAGGAGTGTAAAATTGGCCCCCGTCCCGTGACGGCGCGAAACCCGCCCGCGGCCCATGGGC